ACAACTGACACCCAAAGACCCCCATTAAGACCCCCGTATATGTATGTTTATGCATCTCATAATACAGATTGGAAACTGGCAAAATTGGACCTCAAAATTTCGCATTTCAAATATTATACAACACAATATGAAGATAACACATGCACAATGAGGCCGAAATATTTGAATATCCGCGCGCCGCATGATCGAGCTTTCAACCAATGAGGATAGCGCCGCCGTGAAATCTAATACCTTCTTCTCACATCAATACTGGCGTTATTGTTTGTGGTCGTTTGTATGGGAATATATGGGTCATTCCATTTATTATCCGCACCCCCCCTATGGATGAGCGGATTCCTACCGGTCAGATATTAGGACTTAGGGGATTCCTACTGGTCAGATATTGGGAATTAGCAGATTCCTTCGGCCCGATTCCTACCGGTCAGATATTGCCGTTGAGGTGTAGCATACTATATTGCCAAATATTTATTATGAGAATCATAATAATTTCATTTATTATTCTCACCCACCCCCCCCCCCCGGTCTGACATTGGGAATTAGCAGATTCCTACCGGTGAGATATTGGCAATTAGCAGATTCCTACCAGTGAGATATTGGCAATTAGCAGATTCCTACCAGTGAGATATTGGCAATTAGCAGCATTCCTAGGGTTTAGATTGATACTGTCGATTCCAACAGGGTACTTCTCTGAAATCCGATTACTACAGGTAACATTTTTACCAGAGCTCATCCATAGGGGGGGTGCGGATAATAAATGGAATGACCCATATCTGCTATTGTGGTGCGAGGGTTCTATTCAGTGTGACCAGACGTGGTAATTTCATTACTACCGTGGTAATTTTTCGTCATTTTTGGGCAATTGTGGTAATTGGAAATTTGTGGTAATTACTACGGTAATTTCAGTACAAGCGTGGTAATTTTTCGTCAAATTTTGGCCGATTGTGGTAATTTGAAATTTCCTGACCTTAAATGTACAGATTTTGGTGAAAAACCCCTAAGTGTTAGAGATTTTGGGGAAAAAAAACGGGTTTTGGCTTTGTTTTAGGCGAAAAAAACCGGTTTTGGCCTTGTTTTAATTATTATTTTTCCGGAAAAATTTTTTTAACCCTAATTTAGGGGGAACTTGTCCAGAAAAATTTTTTTGTCCAGGAAGAAGTTTACGACCCCGCTCGCCAACATTTTCGGGGAATTTTTCGAAAAAAAACGGTAAAATTGGGAAAATATAGCACCGTGGTAATTTCAGACCCAAAATAGTAATTTTTGAAACCGGATGTGGTAATTTGGCCTCAAAAAACCTGGTCACACTGGTTCTATTAGGATTGCTTCTAAGTGTCAGTGCGATGGAAGCGATACAAACTGATTAAAATGGCTTTAGTATATTCATATTTCAAGCATAAAGACGGCTTTAAAACAGTGTGAGGAAGAAGCGAGCAAGGTTGCTGTTTGTATTTGAATGACAAAGGTCTGGCCGCCAATGCAATTCAAAACGTGTGGTTCACAGCGTCAATGCTTTAGAATTAGTTCGCCTGTAACTTCAAAGATGCGATAAACCTCGAAAGGAATAAGGTGAGTTATTATAATAATGCGAGAATTATAATGATTGTTGAATTTGTTGTCTGCGATTGTCGTATTTATAATACGACCGCCATTTAATATGCTGAGGCTATAATTTCTGACTATTCTCATTGCCATTGCAGTCTCTGTTAAGAAAACTTGCGCGCGTTTTGATTTACAAGTACTGTAGTTTTGTCTGATTTATCTTGCGTTTACTGCTTTCATTTCAATTATAAAGACAGGTATTTTAGAACCTGAGGTGGAAAATCGGGAAATGGCTGTTAAATGCCCAACCTCAACTATATCATATACATATAGGAATGCAAGATTTTGTGCATTCTATTTAAATTACGCACAACAACACAGACCAACAATACTTTATTCATTAAATTTCAATGGCAAACCGAAACGGTAATGTTTTATATTGATTACTGAACGATGGAATTTATTTTATTAATACTGTCTGTGAGATGAGATACAGTATACACTACACAGCTGGACCTGAGCTGGTGTTTCATGAATATTTTTGCCAACTCGAATTTTATATTTGATTTTTAACCATTAAGCTGCAATGTTCCAAATATACCTTATTTTATTGTTTTATTCTGGCTAACGCAGACAATTTTTATCTAATTTGCCAAGGGGATCTTATTAACCGTAAACCTCGGACTATAAGCCCTGGGCTTATATACTTTCGTAAGCGATTTTTGATGGGCTTACACAAGGGGGGGGGGTATATACGCGGGGGGCTAATACATGGATGATCTTTTGTGTTAGTAATAAACAAATCAGACATAAACAAGTCAGTCATAAACAGGAAAATAAACATCCATTAATAACATGCTTTGATTAACATAACATATAGTCGGCTATAAAGACAATGACAATGCTTTTAATTAAATATTGTTCTCTGCTATATTAAAAGACAATGAAAATGTTGAATAACGTAGTGGGCTACTGGGCTTATATTCGGGGGACTTATATTTGGGGGGCTTATATTTGGGTGTGCTTATGTTCGGGGGGGGGGGCTTATATTTGGAATGAATTGAGCATTAGTATATGTGGTGGGCTTATATTCCGGGGGGCTTATATTCGGGGGGAGGGCTTATAGTCGAGGGGGGCTTATAGTCGGAGGTTTACGGTATAATGACAGAGATAATTTTACCTATCATTGGGCTATCAATGGGAGAGTCCTGAGTATTAATATTTAAGAGTGAAAATATTGATTATGATATAATGTTCACATTATAAAATCCCCAAACATAATTCTCTTTCTCAACCATGTCAAAAGATACACTAAACCTAATAAGTTCTTATTGCAACAGATTCTCATTTTAAAGTAGAATAATTGCCACATGTAGCACTTGTTAAGGTGAGATAGCACATCTCTTATCCATCCAGGACAAATGATCCATTTGACACAGTTAATTAACACTATAATGGGGGTAATTTTTCTTTCTTAAAATGGCAATGTATCGATATGATTTTTCAATGGCAAAATGCAATTGGACTGTACGGGCCAGTCTGTACCAGTGACTAATTATATAGTTAAGCTAGGTGACACTTGCTCGATGGCTTCCTTGTTAGATACTGTACTCCTTTTGAAAAATATTAATTGCTACATGCAGTGTTAAGGTGAGATCATGGCACATCTCTTATCCGTCCTGGACAAATGACCCATTTGACACGGGTAACATTATAATGAAGTAGTTTTTCATTCTTGAAATGGCGATGTATTGACATGATTTTTCAATGGCAAAATGGAATTGAACTGTAACAGTGATTAATTATATAGTTAAGGGACACTTGCTCAATAGCTATCCTCGGTTATATACTGTGCATACTCCTTTTGAAGTAATTAAAATTGCTACATGTAGTGTTAAGGTGAGATGGCACATCTCTTATCCTATCATTGTATGTGATCAATGCTTATTTGTCTCAACAAAGAGATGGTTTGCACTCTAGCTAGCTATCTCATTGACAATTAGATAACGAGTAGCGTAAAGCCAATCAGAAAACAGCATTTGCATTAGAACTTGACAACATTTAAAATTACTAAATATATATACTGTATAGACTAATGTGAAAATGAATACTTTTAGGATGACGACCCCATTGTCCATTGATGAAGAAGTGAGGAAATCAACCTATAGCTATCCTTGAATCTTGGCATCAGGTGACATTGCATCCTTGGACCCATTGTACATTGCTGCCGTGGGAAATTTACTTGCGTTTTGCTGGTAAAAATATTCCACATACTTATTGCAACATTCCATGTTCTAACCTACAATCTAGAAGCTGTCACTTTAAACCGCCCTGCTGATGCCGAGAACAAAATTTCTGTACAACAACTTTTAAGTGAGCTTGTTAATCGTGATAAATACTTAGTTCATATAAATTCATGCATGTTAAAGGTATTTCTTGTCAGCGAGTAATTTATAATAATAACCAATTTTGAACCTATATTTCTCTTTTGTGTGTGTCTTAATGTGCCTGGTTAAAAGTGTTAAATCAACACCTTAAATCTGGTGTTATTTTAGCACCAGATAGGAAGAGGTGTTGCTTTGGCACTGCCAAATCAGGTGTTATTTTAACGCCACACTATAGGTGTTAAATCAACTCTTAAAACTGGTGTCACTTTAGCACTTAAAAGAGTTGTTAGTTTAACACTATAAACAGGTGTTAAATTAACTCCCAAAACTAGTGCTAATTTAACACTAAAAATGGGTGTTGTTTTAGCACCATATCTAGTGTTATTTTAACACTTTTTTAGTGGTGTTAAAATAGCACCAAAAAGTAGTGTCATTTTTTACCTAATTTTTTAACACCACTTTTTGGTGTTATTTTAACACCCTAAAATTAACAGTGTGCGATCGCAGCCACAATTCCCAGTGAACATTGGCCCAAGACAACAAACTACGCTGGGTTTGACGCAAAAAGCGAAAGTTTTCATCATAGAACCGCCAATTTTGACCCCGATCTGCCAAGTCCTGTACTATGTCCCCGTATTTCATGAGTGCGGGGGACTCATGAGGATACTTTTGAGCATAAACCCCTACAAAAATGCGAAACGCACTCATCCAAACAGAAATATTTGTTATTTTCTTGGCTTTACTTATCGGCTCTACAGAAAGAGATGGTGGTAAACCGGCGTCAGAAGAGCTAAAGCTCAATTTGAATTTGTTATCTGACATTGGATTGCTCAACAAAGACCCGAAATCGATGTATTCATCGTTCCAAATTTTATTTTTAAGTTTAATGGAAATCCGACAGTCTATAGGTAAACTATAGGTAAACTAATAGAGTGATATTCCTGCGTTGGTTGAACATGGCTAGAAGTAGGCGCCAAAAACGTCTCACCTGAAATTGTGGCGTGGGCCGAACCAAGAGCGTTGGAAACAGCAAGTTGCGCGACAGCCGTCGGAGGAGTCGCAACATGCTCTGAGATGCGGACAATAGGCGATTCCGTAACTGAGGCAGCAGGTCCCGAAGGAGAACTCGATGGGACTGCGTGGACACCAGGCACTGGAGTTGTTACAGGTTGCAGGCGTCGAGTCACTTCGGCGGTTACGGAGCTGACGATCTCTTGGAGCTGTTGGGGCGTGATAGCCGAGGCTGGAGCAAGAGGAGCAGCTGTTGCTGGCCGAGGAGAACTGGACGAAGGAACCGTTGTGGTTGTTCCTGAGGCACGGGGCGCTCGAGCGCGATGGGAACGGCGTGCTGGTGGTACGGCTACCGATACTGGTCGCTGAGCACGTTGATTTCGAGTGGCGGGCATGGTAAAATTCCTGAAAAACACACTCAGAAACGTAGTGGGAGAATACTAAAAAGTTTATGAAGTATAAAATCTAACAAGATAAAATAAAACTAAAATATAGGCTGGGTCGAGCATGGCACACAACGAGGTGGCCGCACCACTCGCCCAATAAAACGCCACTAAGAAATAATGAGGACGTAGCCTCAGATTAACACGTGTGAGGACGTAGCCATCACAAATAAGCGAGAATAAAATCTCACAAGGATTATAAAGTATGGAGTACTTCTCCAAATAAAACATATTCTGTGTGAACGTAGCCAACACCAGAATCAAAGTGTGAGGGCGTAGCCTCGTGCAAGAAGAAATCTAAATAGAATTAAACAGTATCTGGTGACCTAAAAGACATACAACCGAAGATAACAGACTAACAACTAGGAAGGCTTGCTAAAGCTTTAAGAATAGCACCGCGATAACTGCGATACAGCGTGTATTGCGCTCTACGATTGAAATGAACACCGTCTGGTAGAAACGGAGATTTTACGCGCTGTAAGAATCCCTTATGACTCCAGCAAAAAAGTTGGGAACACCGTCCAGAACGACCTCTAAATATTGGTTCAAAATAAACGCCTGCCTGTTGAACTCCGGGGAAGCTGCCCGATGTGTAATTAGGCAAACCCCTACTATCTGAACATAAGGGAGCTGAAGTAAAAGATGAACGAGGTCATCGATTTTGGAACCCACTACTTCGGGTTTGCTATGGCTAAGGTCGTTAGTACCCACTTCCAAAATTACAATGGCAGGCCGAAATAAACAAACTTTATCTAAATCGAACGTGATCAACTTGTCTACTGTGCCACCCCCAATTCCATGCAATTTGACGGAGGCCCTTTGTATATTAAAACTAATGGCCGCACGGACGTCGAAATTAGAGCGCAAATCGCGATGGAGACGTTTGACAAACGAGTGTCCAAAAACAAGAACTTTTGGGCGTGACAATTCCATAATACCCAAATTAAAAGTATCAAAATATAAGAATAATATAAGAATAATAATAATTGAAAATCTCACCTGTATAAAGGTAAATGAAAGAAGTCCAAAACGTCAAAGAAAATTCGTATGTCTTCACTCGATCACGAGAAAGGTTTACGAAGAATTTTCAGAAGGTTTGTCGATTTGTTCTTCTATTTATGTGGGCTCGCGTTTGATTTTATAAACCTGACAGTGCATATTTGGTGTTGGGAATCATTGTGTTCACGCTGTCGCTGATCAATATATTGATCAGACACTTTGCGTGTTGGTCACGGTGGCCAAACAGGCAACTCAAATAAAATTTACATCAATTCTAAACAAACAAACGGAAACAAACGAGAGCCATTGTGTTCAAAACAAACGAGAGCCATTGTACGAAGGTATCACGTGACTCAGAGCTACAGTATGTCATATAAAACTGCAAATTTTACAGACCTCTATTACTGCCGCTGATAGATCAAGTCGCAGTGATATATATTGCATTTGGTTAAATGGGGGTAACAATTGAGCAATATCGTGCCTGAATTCAATTGGTGCGCATTTTAATAGTTATAGTGTGAGAAGCAATGATCTATCGGGCATCAGACGTCCTTTTCTTGATAATATAAATATGTTGATATGAGCACCTGTATATGAGTACTTCCGCACACCGGAAGGCGCATGCATGCCGTGGTGCGCATGTCCAGTGGCGACAATAACAAAAATGTAAACAA